CACTGATGTTGTTTAAATAAGAATAAAAAATGCACCTATAGGAGGGGAATCTCATGAATTAATGATTATCAAAGCATGCTTCAAGATAGAGAGGAAGGGCATTACAGTGAGTATTATCTAGCGCTGAGTTCATCAACGATAATAAGGAAGACGATGATGACAAATTATATGAGACTGCAGTCAATGGTATAGAAATATGCCAAGTAAAGCATTTGAATATTCTGATGAGAGACCTAAACGCTAGGACCAGAATAGAAAGCACTGGATATGAAGACATGACCAAACGACATGAACTGGGAAGAAAAGAAGAAAACGGTGAGAGATTTGCAAAGCTATGTACTTCAACAAATTGATCATAGGCAACACCACATTCCGACACAAACGCATAAACAAAGCCATATGGGTTTCACCGGATCACACTACTATCAGTAATAGGAAACGTTTCCAAGTGTTATCGAGCAGAATAAAGCATTCATTTGACACCCAACTTCGAGATCAACAGGTTGGATGCCGTAATGATCGGTCGCAAACTGAACAAATTGCGACACTATGTTAAGTTGCTGAGAAATCTATTGAATCAAACTCATCATCAAACAACAAATATCTTCATCATGAGGAAGCATTTGAATACGTAAATAGGAGAATATCATGTAACCTTCATCAATACTATGGACTACCCGGAAAGATTGTCATCACCATATGGAATTCTCTCGATGGACTATACTGAAAGTCGTTTATGCAAGGCAACTCATAGACAGAATCCAAGTGAAAAGTGTCATACAAGTCAGCCTACTCTCACTCATTCTCTTCCTTCTGGTGGTTGATTGGATCACAGAGAGCTCCACATGTCAGAGGAAACATGGAATACAGTGGACAGCTCGAATGCAGATAGACGACTTGAAATTCTTAAATGATCTAAACCTTCTATTCTACAAACAGCAACCAATGCAGGTGAAGACGGACAGTTTAGCAGCTATCTCTGCAGCATTACGTCTCAGCATACACAAATGAAAAAGCAAGATCCTTAGAGGCAACACACCAAGTATCAACCAAATCACACTTATAGAGAAGCTTTGGAAGATAAGGAGACTTTCGCATACCTGGGCTGCATCATCAACAAACAACGGGGATCTAATTTAAACGTGACGGCATGGACTAAAAAAGCGAGGGCAGCATTCCTACAATTGGAGAACAGTAGGAACTCATGAAAACTATCAGCCGACGCCAAAGTACGAAGTTCCATTTCATAGTCAAAGCAGTTCCGTTGTAAGAAGGGGAACCTTAGAGAACCAAGAAAGCTAGCATCCATAAAATACAGGTGTTTATTAACAGTTTTCTACACAAGAAACTCCTCATCTGTTGGCCCGATACCATCAACAACCTACTGTGGCAGCAAACAAACCAGATTTCAGCTGAGGAAGAGATTAGGTAGAAGCGCTGGAGCTGGATAGGACGCATATTACAGAAGGCGCCAAACTTCATCACGAAACAAGCCGTAACTTGGAATCCTCAGGGCCGAATGAAAAAAGTCAGTCCAAGGGACACATTGGGTCTTGACTCGGAGGCAGACATGCAAAGAATGAATAGCAACTGGGTAGAACTATCAAAGGAGGCCCAGAATAGATTTGGTTGGAGGATCCTGGTTGGTAGTCAATGCCCTACGAAATGAAACAGGCGTCAATAACAGTACATACGACTATCGATCCAACATTGAAATATATAGGAAAACAGTTAGTAGTGGGAAGTGAGATGAAACAATTCAACTTGCAATTAAGGATACAAGAATGAAGAAAAGATTAAACAGTCTAATCCTGTTGTACAAATTTTTCTTTCACTAAGTTTCAGTACGATGACTCATCAGCGGTTGACGTTTAAGGGCGAACACATATTACAACTCTGATATAAATGAGGTTGAAATGTTCAGTTAGAAACATGTGTATGATAAAAGAAGGCACGTTACTATAAGAATCCTTGAAACTTGTCACTGAAAATATTTTGTACCGAATAACATCACTGAAAATGTTGCTTTCTATCCTGTCTTCAACTAAAATATAACAAGTAAAATCACATTTCAAAAATGACTTGATTTTGAAAGTCCATGACACAGGTGCATCCATTCTTTGGCTTCTCTCAAATCTCTGGATTCTTCATGATTTTTATCTTTCTCTTTTTAAGTCTATTTCACTAGATTATACTTCTTGAATAACATCTTCGAATCCTAATCTCTCCGATAACTGATAATACCTCCACTACCTCTACTACTATGGGATTTGAATTGACAATCGCGTCTCTGTGCTAATGTTGTGATATGGCAACTTGAACTGATGTACGTGCGTACAAAGTTCTACGTAGTAACTGACTGGCTTATTCAATCGAAGAAATACCTGAAAATCGGAACCAATATTCATCTGTTAGTATGTTGAAAAATAGTTTAACAATTACCGTCTGCGTTATGTATCCATTGCAGTTGATGCGCTATATACAAGAGTATTCAATCAAAAAAGTGAATCCGAATGAAACCAGGCAAATTTAATCTATTCGCAATGCAATTTTAGTGCCTTTACATGCATAAAAATCATCGCTGGTACAGTTAGAGCATTTTGTAAACTTTCTTACAGTTCGATAAATTTTTGACATAAACGTGGAACTATTTACTTGGAAATGCTGAACCAAAAATTATCATCATGTTCACTACAAATATACATCAAAATACAGAGAAGGTTGGTTTATATGCATACAATTACTTATTTCCAGTGTAATCAGTAATCTGAACTATTTTTTGCAACAAGGACATTAGAAAACTATACTATAGTCGGTGCACAGATGTGTTAACCTAAAGAGTATGAAAAACAAAAATATATGACCCTTGCGTAAAAATACATTGTTGCGAAACATAAAAGTCAATTTGTCAAAACGTTAAATTCAGGTAAAACACTAACTACTGAAAAAATTACTTTTCATTATGAACATTAGCCAACGGAAAATATAAAACAAAATAATTGAAACATATCAACGTTAGAAACATTGTCTGATACAACTACCTGTTTGACAGAAAATGTATACTATGTCTAATAGGATTCTATTTGTAGAACCTAAAATTCGTCTATTTCACTGAAATAAACACAAATTAAACGGACTTGAAAATGCTGTAAAAGACAAGTTTGGGTGATCAAGCAACTAGAATAAAAGAAATGAGATAAAAAGCCTTAAAGTAAATTCTTACCAAACCTAAGCTTCAGATCTAAAACTAGGCAGCTAAATTGAATAATTTATACAGATATATTTATCATTGACTGCTTTCTAGAGCGTAACATTTAAATGTCACGCGATTCTGAACAACCTATGTCAATAATTCTATTGCGGTGATTGATTCTACTTTAGCGGAATACGTTGTCTACCTGTAAATAACTTTATTAAGATTAATAACAGGTATAATTATATTTTACCCAAACGATATTTTTGGTAATATAATCCCTTTTGAGATTTAGAAAAAATAAAGCTAAGAGAATAATTTCAAAAGCAGAAACTTTTGAGGACGATTCGGATAGACCGAGAAGTATTTAGTGAATTTTGTAGGATAAATAAAATTGCAACCGTAATCCAACTATAACGACAAGAAATCGTTTGGCAATTTCTTTTCTCGATTGGTAAAATTTTCCATTGTAAAAGAATAACTATTACTTTATCCTGTGAACACACCACATATATGCCATTTGAAGACGTACCTTATCGCTTATTCAAATTATACATTTCCAGTGTCATGCAACATGAAAACAACCATACTATGGAACTAACTTAGAAAGATCATGATGTGATATATGGAAATGATATTTGCTAGTACAAGCTACATTAGTGGTTATATAAATGCCGAATATCAGGTTCGCATAACCATTCAAATCAGGTTTGCGTGGTAATTTTTCAAAGTTAAGCTGTGGAAAACCGTAATTTCACAGTCAGATTACTATATGACTAAAACTGGATGAAATTAGTTAACACCTAACGGTTCATCTCATTGTTTAAGCTACCACAAGATACATGACACAATCTTCATGAATCGACCGCCTAATCAACTTAATAATTCTAGTATCCGCCAGAATTTTCGCATTTACAGTGTTGTTGTTTTTGAGCAATTAAAGCATTTGAACAACGGGTTCTTACTTTCAACCTTTAATCTTCCTGTTTCAGCTGTAACTGAAACCTTCATTCGGCCTCTTCTTTCTGTATGATCCATTCCACAAAGTCGTGGAGCCCTGGATGTGCAGCGTTTATGAACATTAAGATTGCAGTCTGTAAGGTCGCAAAGAAAACAATTTAGCAAGCTACATAATAACAACACATAAGCTAGTAAAATTCAACATTCAAAATACATAAAACATCTATTCAAAGTACACAGTCATATTTTCCGAAATTTTCATCAGCAATTTCGGGGGATCTTATGTGCCATACATGATCAAATGTAATTAAACTGCATACATTGTAGAAAAGTAATTCCATCATCAGACAGTCTTACACCAAACGAGAAAATTTACGAATTAACACTCCATATCTTCATTGCAGGACAATTCGTGCTTCTTTATTCGATAACTACCCTTGAAGTTTAGCCTTTTCCCCACCCTGATTGATATTAACATCTACTCCATTTTATCACTCATTTCTTTTTACCTTAAAGATATATCCAAAGGTTGAAATTTTCAAATATGTATGCCTTCATACTCGGTAGATCAGTCATTAGCTATCTGAACCTATTGTGAGCCCATTGTGTAATGAAATAAAAGACGATGAGTTCAAAATCTAGTGTGAATTTCAACGTAGATGGGATAAGTTCAGCTGGAAATTCTCAAACAAGAAGATTTCATTACTGGCCACAATCTAATTTTACTTTTATTTTTTATGTTTTAATTATAGTATCGTCTTACATTAGAATCATGAATGAATCATTTATTCTTTGTCTCCTTCCCTGTTTCCATTCCCTTTTCCATAGTCCATCAGCGTTCCAAATTACTAACTAGTTAACATGACTGCGACTTGAATTTTACAAAGCTTCTATGCATGCTCAGAGATTCTCTGGCTCTTATGGATCATAGTTAAAATTCACCCAGCGAGACACGTTCCGTTCAGACAATACGTCTATATAATTCCACTATATGCACAATCTTGGATTATACTGTTGGTCCCACATCCGTTTAATCTCTCAAGCTTATTGAACTAGGTCGGTTAACTAAAGTTCCTAAACGAATCAGTTTCGTCTACTCTAATATTGTTACATGTAAAACTAGCCGAATACTACGACAGATTCAGTATTACAAAAGCACGATTAGACTCAGATGCCTATCTTTCTGAACTGGAGTTAGCCTAACTTTCTGTTTTTTCAAGTGCCCACGTGGAGCTGAACACATTTCTAGAAATACTTTTCGTATTCTTTATCATATAATGGTTTAAGATTTAGGTTACTTTAATACGATCTCAAAAACATTCGTATCACTCTCCACGGTTTTAGTCTGACCTTACAGTAAACTAAAATTGTATTTCATAGAGTCACACTTGGCCGAGATATTACTTTGTACTCATGATATTCAACCACAACGGCTACACAAGCAGATACATCCGAATTTATTACTTCGATAAAGCACGTAATACAAAAATTTTGAGGTTTTTTAGAAGCCATATACCTTTTCGTTTTTAACAGGATTATTACCATTTGTGTTTAGTTTCATTCTAATTTTTAGTGGGAAAGAGATGATAAATCTGATGCTAGGGGCATCATTATGTCTTATCCACAGTGATCCGAATGTTAAAATCATGCGGTGGAAAAACCTTAAAGCAAATTCAGTTATTAGATGTGATAATATTTAAAATAGCTTTGGGAACCACTAAGTGGAGGACACTGCTCAGTGGACTGTAAAATAAATATGTTCATTATGAACAGTCAAAGGTGTGACTTCTCGTAAAGAAGATTCATCACATAGTTTAAACATTTAAAGAAGTCCAACAAACATCTAGTTAAAGCTATCTTATATACAACTACTTACTTTTACATTTATAACCTTGATGTAGCAAACCATAAAGAAGAGAACCACAGTGATCACAAAATGTTGGACTTGTATATGTATACAGCACAAAATTATGTTTTTTCTCGAACTAATTAATTGGATAAACTTGTAATATTTGAAACATACGTCTGTATCTGGTCCAGTATCTGCGCCAGGGCATTGAAAAGTTACTAGTTGATAACACCTTTTATGAACTGTAAAAAGGCAAGCTTTGCACTGAACACCTTGTATACCAAGACCCCTAAAGCAGTGTTTAAGTAAGTTTCTTTTTAAAAAATACCATATGAAGTCTTTGCAATGTCCGCAAAATGTGAACTGCTTTAGGAACCGTGCAACAAACTCATGACCCTTTACATATGAGACATTCTTTTCTCGTAACGCACCTCGCCTTGCGAAACGAACTGGGTTTTGAACTGATGAATAACTACTAGTTGCAAGCTTATGGGCCTCTGCAGATGATGCGGAGAAAGATGACATTTAAGGAAAATCCGAAATCGTCCCTGTATTTTGACCTTCGATATGACGAGAAAAAACACCAAACATTCTTCATGATTTGATGTGGTAGATTCCATAATGAGATGAGAATGGAAGTGATAAAACCATCTTTAGATTCGTAATAAATCAATAAACGACAAAAGCTAGTTAGTAAGCACATACAATATTTGATAATCCACTTTTCAAAATATCCAATATATTTTTCACGAGCTAGTATAAACCAATCGATTTCTTTGCGCTTGATTCTTGTTTTTTCGGTACAGTTATCGGCATTTGATATTGTCTGATGGGCGATAGCCTAGCCACCTAACTGCACTGATTCTGGTCAGCTGGCAGTTATTTGTGAATTTGTATGTCCTGAATTTTGAGTGAGAATGTTTATCTCAGGGCATTTGATATTCTGCACACCAATAGCTATCAAATCACCAGTCTGGAAACCATTTGGTTATAAAATGGAAAACAATAGGTATAAAGTTCTGATGCCGAAGACAGGGATGTTTCGGAAACTAACAAAATAATACTAGTTAATTAGTCGGTGAGGCAGAAGGTGAGGGGGCTGGGAATGAGCGAGGTGGAACAATCCAATTACATAAAGTGGTGATCAAGATGAAAACAAACCAGTTTCGAGACACGTATCAGACACGGCTTGTTCAAGCGGTAGACGATGATTCGTATGTGAGTACATGCTAGTCAAGTCTGCTCTTAAAGCTGCCTACTCATCGGATTGTGATTACTTCTGCTGCGAGAGCAGTTTATTTTGTAGATGATATTTGGTTTTTCTTCCTTTGTCACTCTGTCCTTTGGTTTACACAGGACCCATCGAAGTGATTCTGTTGGTTTGTGTGCCACATCTATTCCAAATAGTTTCAATAGTCGTGCCGTATGCTCCAATATGTCTTTCATGTATGGTGAGATGACCCGTTTATTGATTTCTCTTCTGTTGATGATTTCAATTGATGTTTTTTGATCAAGTTGCATGGATAGCCGTTCTTTTGAAAGATAGTCATAAGAAGCTTTTCCTCGTTTTTTATTGCCTCATATGTGCTACAGTGTCTTCACATTCTTGAACAAAGTTTGTACGCAGTTTATTTTGTGCCTTCTTGGGTTGTTGCTAATGTAGTTGAGGATTACGTCTCTGTGGATTGGCTTCCGAAATACTAAAGTTTTAAGCGTCCATGTGTTAATTCTGGTGATTAGTACATCTAGGAATGATAGACTGCTGTTTGATTCCTTTCGCATCGTGAATTTGATGGCATTAAAGACGTTTTTGATCCGGTTGTAAATGTTCTCCAGCTCGTTCCTTTTGATAATGACGAGTGTGTCGTCTTTATAGCGAATCCACATTTTGGCTTGATCACATATAAACCCAACGCTTTTAGTCTCTGCATTACGGCTTCCGCGATGAGTCCTGATATTGATGATTCCATCGGTGTTCCTTTTGTTTGTTCGTAGACTCTATTGTTGAAGTGAAAATACGTTGTTAAGCATAAATTGAAGAGTTCTAGCAGAATTTGGCTCTGATGCTTTATATATTTTCGCAGATTTGTGTCGTTCGTGAGGAGATGGGATAGAGTTTCTTTAGCTAAGCTTGGTTCTATTGAGGTGAGTAAGGTTCTCACGTAGAAGGATATCATCGTTTCGTCCTCGTTCCAGGGAAGTAGCCAATGAGGCTTAGAGGAATGTTGGGTTGATGGAATTTCGGCCTACCATAGAATCGTTAAATTACTGGTCTACTGGATTTCATTCTTCACTGATCTTTTTTTGATATTTGTCCTGCTTTGACAAGCCTGTTCAGAGTCCTTCAGATTTGGTTGTCCAAATTTTATTGGGTATGTGTCGACTGGTTTACATACGCTTATGTCCTTATGTAGTTCCTCGGCTTTCTCGATATATTCTTCTTTGTCCATAATTACCGTGGTGTTTCCTGTGTCCGCTGAAACTATGACTATATCTTCCCAGGTTCTGAGTTTCTATTAGGCTTCTTTTTGTTGTGTTGCTAGTTGGTTATTGTCTTTCATCCATTGAGTTACTGGTATTATGGTTTGTCTTATTCCTTGTTGAGTTTCTCCACTTACTACAGCCGTTCTGAGTGATCACTCTAGTGCAACGAAAAATCCAAGTTTCGAGGTGTCCTTCATTTTGTAGTTTATTCATTTTTGAAGGAGTTGTTCTTCCTTTGTCGTTAGTTGTTGTCTTGAAAGGTTGGCCACACAATTGTTTGCGTTTTCTTTCGTAGCTGTCTTTGAAGTCTTGATTAGTTTATCTTTGAAGTTGTTTTATCTTTGTCCTCTGTGTCGTCTGCCTGATCGCCGTTCTCAGTGTTGAAGCCAATAATCTTTTCGTAAATCCAGAAGCTGCAAACTCTAGGATGTATTCAGATTTAGTTAGTTCCTCGACGTTCCTACAATTATTTTAGGCCCATAAGTGCGTCAGGGTTGTCAATTGTTTGAACATATGGTTAATTTGAGCAAGCGAGTTTTGTAAATATCGTATCTCACTGCTATGGCTAGATCATTCGACGCCTCGGTTTGCGACAATTCAGATTTTTTTACCCATGTTTATTCTGTGTTGACATTTCAGGATACGTGGGCATAGTGCCTCTTATATCTGCGAGCTTTGTTGTTGGTACCCTAAGTGAAGTTTTCGTACAGGTTAATGGCAAAAGATAGTGAAATTCGTTTAAAAGAGGTATAGGGTTTAAAAGACGAAAGTGTGAATCTTCCAATAACAGATTCATCAGGTAAAGGGTTTACAGATTTTTAACTTTTGTGTGGTTAAGAAGTAGATGATATTCCACTTTTACTCGGATTAGCGGTCGTAATAGTAAATAAGGTATGATAATTGTTTGTCTGGTTGGGGTTGCGAAGTTTAAACGCCCAAACCTATTCCAAAACAGAAGTCAGGATATAGGATATCGATATTTATTGATAGGAGGTCGCGTGATATCGAAATAATATCACGTGTTCAGCCAGTAAAAGTAACGGTTGCACGAGACGATCAATAAGTCCACACGGTTGGCGAGGTTGGCGAGATTGGTGCTTGAATTATTACTTCAAGTACAGATAAACAAAAGGTGTACAATAAAACAGTTATTGTCAGACATGTTCAATCATAAGTATTTATATGTCAGTAATCATGTTTTCTTCATAAAGTAGTTCCACTGCAGGAGCCCCCCCCCCAGTAAGGGTTCACACTTTCGATATTTAGCGGCTGCGTTCAAGGGGCTTGTCGGCCAAAATTTAGTTGTAGAGCAGAAAGGTTGACGACAGGAAGCGACTGATGAAGCTCCAGTTGCCACCGAGGGTTTGCCCACTTCCGTGCCAATAATTACGTGCCAAGTTCGTCTATTCGGCTGGCATACCACACCAGCGTGGCTCGTATCCAGAGTCTGATGATTGCGTTCGTAGGGGTTCGGGTTAGATTAAGCTGGACACGTAGGATGGAACCAGATTGAGCGAAGGAGCCAGAAACGACCAATGCGAAACCATTCGTATACCAGATATATTCGTAACCAGAAAATCAACTGAGTGCAATGACAAGAGCGTGGGTGATCAGGCCAGCTTTCGCCAAGGTTGACTGAAGTCGACGGTACCAACAGGGCAATGGTCGGAGGTATAGGCTCGGGATGAAAAAAAATCAAAGAAAATGGGAGAAAAGTGTAGCATGCATGTAGTATGATTGGAAAATCCTATGCCGCACCTATGGAGGATTGGTAGTTATTCGAGAAAGCGTACAGGTAGGCGTACGCGGCGACCGGGACGCGAGACGGTAGCCTCGTGCGTACCTCGTGAGCCCGCATTCTCATCCGCAGTCAAGTGTGGCATGGTCTGCTGATCTGGACGTGAGACAGGAGTCTCATCCGTAGATAGTGCAGATGGCGCGTGCCGCTGACTGGGACGTGAGAATGAGGTCTCTGATTTCGCTAGCGTGGGATCCGGGGTAGTTTTAAGGATCCCGCTAGGTCTAGCATCGGGTCTCGGATTAGCAAGTAGGGCACTGTCATCGACGTGTGCTGGCTTGAGACGATCAATGCTGACTATCTCGACGTGGCCATGTCGAGCAACCTTGAAGGCCTTTTCGTGACGAGAAATCACGTGGAAAGGTCCTTCGTAAGGTTGTTGCAGAGGTTTGCGTACCGAATCAACTCGAATGAAAACATGTGAGCAGGTAGACAACTCTCGGGGGAGAGCGACCTGTCTATGTTGTACTCCAGTTAACACCGGAGGCAGTGCTCGCATAAATGCAGATAATCTTTGCACGTAGTCTGATTTATTGAAGTTATCACTGCTCCTTGATGTGAAAAATTCCCCAGGCAGACGCAATGTCGTGCCGTATACCAATTCAGCGGCGGAACATTGAATATCTGCCTTTAAGCTCGTTCTGATGCCTAGAAGGACGAGTTGTAAGTTTTCGTACCAATTGTTGTTTTCGTGTGCTCGAAGAGCGTTTTTGAGTTGGCGATGAAACCTTTCGACTAAATCATTTGAAGCTGGGTGGCAGGCGGTAGTGCGTATGCGCTCCGTACCAAGCAGCCGAGTTAGCGAGGAGAATAGTTCGGACTCGAATTGTTGTTCTCGGTCAGTTGTCACAGTCGAGGGACAACCGTACAGAGCTATCCATCGTTCTACGAAGCGGTGAGTAACTGTTTCCGCCGTAATAGAAGTGATGGGAATAGCTTCGGGCCATCTTGTAAAACGATCACTGCACGTGAGTATGTGATCATACCCATTCGATGGTGGTAATGGTCCTTCAATGTCAACCTGAACGTGATCGAAGCGAGCATCAGGCGTAGCAAATGTGCCGACGGGGGCGGCTACGTGCCCGTGCACTTTTGATCGTTGACATTGTAAGCAGTGCTTTACCCACATACGGATGTCTTTGTTCATGGAAGGTCAGACGTATCGTGCAGCGATGAGACGTAATGTAGCTGCGACACCTGGATGAGACAAACCATGAAGGGCATCGAAGACGAGACGACGATA